GTCAGAGAAATTAAAATTATCACAAACATAAAATGACATAGATTCCTTGATTTTAGAGACAAATTTTTGCATTCACACTTAAAACATTCTGAATCTTTGTGATGCAGCTAAATACAAAATCCCTACTAGACACCTCTAAATCCTGATTTCTTACTTTGCTCATTAAAATAACATACCTGACTAGAACATATAATTTGAACTATAACACTATCAGCATATCCCTTTTACTATACAATGCAATAAGGAAAGGGAGAAAGTCTGATCCAAAATAATAATAATAACCTACAAACTAACATATCATAGTTAACACAGTTCACAGTGAGAATTTTAAATAGCTAGCCCACTGGAGATAAAGAGCATCCAGACTCACCTCTGAAACAATGTATTTAGAGGTAGGTGGATAAAGCGTGAGTGTGAGGGGGACGAGCCAAAAAATCCTAGAATTTTGGGGTAGTAGTAAAGATTTTGAATCACATCATGATTCATTTTCCATGTATATGACTCAAGTGAATCATAGCAATTGCTTACAAAAAGCACTAAAACACAGTCATGCCTAGTTTTGCTTAACTGTGCTCTAGCTTTTCTCTAAATTGGAAACAGTATTTATGGTAAGCATAACCCAACTGATGGTAATGAAATGAAGACCATTTAGACAGATGTCTGATCCTCCATGGATGTTTTTTTCTCCAGGAGAAACAAGAAAGGCCTGCAGCCTTAACTGCCTTTTCTGAATTTACGGTGGCAGAGCTGTCCATCTGGATTAGTGTCATCTGCCCTTTTAGAAAAAGATCAGTGCCTCGAAGGCTTTGAAAGATAAATTATCTATGTGAAAAAAAGAAACCAGGTTGACCTACTGAATATTTTCTATTAAGATAAACCCGAATGAAAATTTTCTCCAAAAAAGCAATTACATTTACCACTTCCATCAAAACTATCCCCTAAAAATAAGAAAGCACTAAATAGCCACTACTATTTACTACTAGACTATCCCTAAAGACATAAGGTCATCTTGTAAAAAGCTAACTTAAAAGGAGCTGACGAGGCATATACGTTACTACAGCTGTGATACTTGGGCAGAATCACCGAAGCTGTCTTGAACCAGAGTTGGAGAATTGGGGAGCAGCGTGCCAATAGCAGTACCCCTCTACTGCAGAAATTCTGCAAAGTTGGAATAACATAGCAAATACACACAGTCTTGAGGAAAAAGAGAAGAATTACAGCTGTCAAATAATCTTATCCCTGGTTCAGCACCTGCACTTAAACAATACAGCCAAAATTCTTTTCCTAGAACGAGATCCAACCAATAGAAACCGCATCCACTGCAGAGAATATGTTAAGAAAAAAGCACTAGCTCATGAGCTTAGACTGGCAATATGACAAACCACATGTACACCTAGACACACGCGTATAACATTTTGATATCATTTTACGAGCTATTTTTCCCCTATGCAAATACAATAGTGTCAGTTCGTTAAGAGTAAGATGACATGAATTTTTTTTTAAAAGATGAAGGAGTAAGAGCGCATAACATGGATGGTTATGTGCTACTTTCTTCTCCTATCTGAGAAACATACAGAATTATAAGTTACTCTAGACAAGGAATGAATACTGAAGTTCTTGTACGTTGTTGGGAACACAGGGAAGACCATTATCTTCTATCTAGAGGCAATATAAATATAAAACGCAAGAGATCAGCACAAGCTCTTCCTGTTCCAGTTGATTGGTTACTTTGTGTTTCTAGAAATAAAAGAACGAAGGATCTTACAACTTAGTTTTTTTCAAGGACTACAGAGAAAAAGGAAAAAAAAAAAAAGAGAGGAACAGAACTCTATTAATTACAGATTTTCATCAGCCCTGGATTAGAGGCTTGATTTTCTTTGAAGGTTCTAATTCACTGAAAGCAGTAAGTGCTAGAAATAAGAACAAAGAAATAATTTAAAACTTGTTAAAATTATGTTCCCATTTTCCCAGTACCCCCCCCCCCCAACAGCTAATTTTGTTCTTTTAATAATTTAGCTCTTCATATACTGTCTTCCCTATGGTACACAGTTAAATAGAAGAGGGCCAATTAACCTACTTCTTTGTACCTCCCATAAAAATAATGGGCTTATAAATGTGTGAATGGAAGATTGCAAGAACAGAATTGTAAACCGATGTTTTCATTTTTTACCCTCCTAACTGATAACGATTATGCTTCTACATTTTTTTCATTCATGAGCTTGTAAAAAGCATTCTAACTCAAAAAGATCAAAATGAGCTGGTTACACTAAACATACTATTTTAACAGCAGCTATTTTTATCTGAAAATTCAGTATTTTCTATTATGATATGGCCTACAATAAATGAGCAATCTCACTGCTCAAGCTGTACTTCTGTAAACAAGAAACTGAAGATGCCAAATATAATCTCATTGTATGCCTTTAGCAGCTGATACCTTCTTAGAGAATTCATGGTATATACTGACAGTAAGCAGGGTTTCTAGCTTTTGGATATATAAGTGAAGAGATGCAAGTACTGATTTGACTTCATGTTAGTGGATCAGGATACATAAATCATAAAAAACTTTTTTTAAAGTGATTTACATTGTTGGCTGACTTTCATTCTTACACTAATAAGAAATAAAAATAATATTTATGCTGGCATAGAAAATAATAAATTAAATTGTTGTACAGGCATCAGTGTTGTATATTTTCCCATTTCAAAATTCAGATTAGACAAGTTTGCACAGTTACAAATTCAAAGAAATATTTTTTTTAATAGATCAAACCATACCTTCAGATGTGATTGCTACTATTGCCACTTATAAAAAAGGGAATTTAAACTACTAATCAAAATACAGTCAGTAGCCATCTGCCTTCTACACTAAAAGATGCCTTTGTCCTCATGGGAATTTGAGATAAGAATGTTGGTAGTTGGGAAGGATTGTACTACTCAGCCAAAAATAGAAAGTAAGAGAAAATTTGAAAACTGGAAGATTAAATGCAAGTTTCATCAATAACTTTTAACATGCAGGCTGAAGGAAAACAGAGTTTATAAGCAGTGCATAAGGAGGTCTCATGGAAGTAGTTACATGCAAATGTGATGTTTAACAAATAAAGTGGAGATTACCGTTGCTCTATTATTAATACTTGCATGATTATTCACAATTTGCTAGAGACTGCTGGAGTCACATAAGATTTCAAATGGGAGGAAAAAAAGTGCAATCAGTCAGCTACCATTCTTGATAATCATTCAGCCAAAACCTGACAGAAAGAACACATGACCTCAGTATGACCGTTGTTCTGCCTTTCCTAACAATCTGAACAGTAATTTACATGCAGCAATGCACCTAGTGATCTAGCAATCTCTAAAGGCAATTCAACAGTCATCGCACTTACTGGGAGTTCTATAAGACTCTAATTGAGTTGTAGCATAATTCTGCAGGAAATGCTGTATTTTCATGTACATGCTTTCTATATTTAAAATCCATCTTACCACTGCAGCTGGAACTTGATGCATTTTTGCAGCAGGGGTTCCTGGGCGTGGATAAAATTGATTAATGAATAAGCTGGGAAACCTGTACTGTTCTACGAGTTTCATTGTTTCTTGAAAATCTTCATCCGTCTCCCCTGGAAAACCACAGATGATGTCTGTAGCAATTGTTATTCCAGGCACTCTGTAAGGAAAGCAGAAAGGAATATCGGACTTAGGACATGTAAAAGTTTTGCTCCTTTAAAAGTTAGGGTACAGACATATAACTCTTCAACGTTATCCACAGAAATTGAGATCTACAATGATCTTTGGGGGAAAAAAAGATATTTTAATATCATTTAATACCATTATTTGGTAAGTACAAATGCATTTGGTACTCAGCTGAGAGCACAAGGAATAGAAAAAGAGATACTGCAATAAATATTGGATTAGAATTGTGACAGAAGGAGGAAAATGTCCTGGACCAATTCCTCCTTCATTTAAAATGATAGGTTATCAGCAGAGCTGATACATTTCTTGAATTCTGATTACTTATCTACACATGTTATAACCTCTGAGACTTAACCACTGGAGTTTGTAAAATTCCTTGATGAATTATATCACTGCTATCAAAGTAGAATGGGATATCCAAAAGAGGAGACTGATGTCCCATGGAGACTTGCAATCTCAGACAAAATGGGCTTTAGAGCCAAGAAGGCAACTTCTAGTCACAATTTAATTTCTAACTCAGTACGCCATAAAATCAGGCTATTCCTTGCTTTAAAATAATAACAACCTTCCCTCTTACCCTAAAACTTAAGTTTACAAATTCACAGACACCAGCCTCCCTTTTTATTTAGCAAGGTCAGCATTTCCTAACTGTTCCCTTTGGACTGAATATGCACAGCCCTTAAGCACATGGCCCAGAAAAATGAGTCCTTCAACCAAGAGATTATTGCATGGGATTTACAGAGCACTGGATGAGACCCAGGAGGTATCAGTTCAGCTTTCCAGGTCTACCACTAGCCAGCTGGATGACCACTGCTCCGTAAGAAGCTGGGAAACTACACCATTGCTTTGTACTTCAGTCAGCTTGTACATAAAGGGGCAATCGTGACAAACCTCTTCTGCAAGGAGGTGGAAATGTGTAGTCCAGAAGGGCTCCCCACTGACACAGACGAGCTGCTTCTACAACATAGAGCTGATTTCATGACTATTCAGTAATAAAAGATAACGACAGACCGCAGAAAAGTTGGTCCGGCTTCAAGCGGGGGACACAGACAAGACGACTTCCAGAGGCCCCTTCCAACATAAATTACTCTACAGTTCTCTTTAAGTAGGATATAACAATAAAATAGTTGAGACAAATTCTCTTAGGGATGAATAGCATAAAGACCTCTGCTACAAGCAAAGCTCATGCCCAAGCTTAAGAAGGGGTCTGCAAGCCTTGTTCTAAATTAAAGAAAAAAAAAAAAGGGCTGGAAGGCTTCTCTTCTTCATCATCAAGGCAAGGGACAACACAACTGTAAATATAAATGCATGCAAACCAAATGGCATTTATAAAGTATTTGAATGGCCAAAGAGAACTATTGTTTTGTATTATATAGTACAACACCATAGGAAAAATACTGCTGTGATTACAGTGGGCAAAGAAACTGAAGTTTAAAGAGGCAAAAGAAACACTTCTTGCAACAATGAGGTCTACTGGAAGAGCCAAATCGGTTGGCAAAAGACCCAGGAAAGGGGAAGCATACAACATTTTTTTAAAATGATTAGATTAGGTGACATACTAGAGCTCATTAGTCTGCTCAGTCTTTCATAAAACTATTTCTGGATTCTCCCCTACCATACGTGACATTTTACACATGTAGCAGAAATACCCTTTGCTTAAAATGTTTATTTTTATTGCTATGTCACAGCAATTAGGTCTGCTTCAAGATAGGAAGGGTGGTCTGACCTCTCCATGTTCAGGACTTGAAATGGGACTCAGGAGAAAAGCTTTCTCTTCTCAGTCCTGAGACAGAGTTCTGAGTTCAGTGATTTCTAGGCCTTCGCAGACTTCCTTTAAAAAGGGTTGTTCCCTTCTTAGGTAAATTTCAGCAAATTCATTTATTAATATTTACTTGTGACATGACATTAGAATGATGATGAAAACTGTGGAGAAGTCAGACTTAAAAAAAACAAATCAACCCCCCTTCAAAAAAAAAAAACAATATAGAGAAAATTACTCCCAACAGAGTAGCCTTGATACAAAGAGTACATGGTGATAAACATATTTTACGATTATTTCTTTTTTAACTTAAAAGAAATGGAATTTTTATTTAAATATTGGCAATGAGATTATATTAAACCAAATTCCTTGGCCTCCTTTTTATATGTACCTGCATATATAGTTAGCTACACAGGAATTTATTAGACATTGTATTGTCAGAATCTTCTCTCTCCTTTTCCTTAAGAAAAAAACACAAAAGAAACCAACCAAATTCCTTCAGTTCTTTTTCGAGTTTACGAATTCAGACTCTAACGTCTGAGATGAAGTTAAAACATGTAATTTGAATGCCAAACTGAAAATGATATAACACCAGACATTTTCAAGAAAGAGCTGGTCCAATAAGTGTAAGTGGGAAAACACAAACTGAACATTACACAGAACAACAAAACTTCCCAATACCATTGGCTAAGAAGCCTCCATTTCCCTTGGTTTCTTAAGCCTGAAAAACTGCAAGACATAAAGTTCTACTTCAAATCAAATAACAATAAAATTATCTGGATTTAAGGACTGAGAAGAGGAACACTGCATTCTGCAACATTATTTTGTTCACATTGCCAGTATTTTTGTGCAGTAATAGCAAGCTCACAGAAGATAAAATATATTACTTTATAAATTAGTATCATATAACATCAGCTGCCGTTTATCACAACATTAACAGAACAACCATTAAGTCTGACAAAACTGTTATAATGAAGTTATTTTAGCCATTTAAATGACACTACTGGTAACAGTCAAGTCATTTATTACCAATGGCAGCAGTAACACCATCCTTTATAAAGGTTTGGCTGTTTCTATAGCAACGTGAATTATAAGGTCCAGTCAAGCTAGATACACTAAAATATGCTCTTTTTCTCCATAACACCAGTTGTCAGTTAAAAGGAAATTACATATTTTTAACAATCATAAACTGTACAAATGTCTGAACTCCATTTGGTGATAAGGTGTTAATTATCTTACTAATTAGATTTCTTTCTGGATGGAATTATTACACACAAAGAAAAACTAAGCTATGGAAAGAGAATAAGAACACCAGTCTATTCAGAGACAGCAATTAATTACAGTTCAATCCAGTATGCCTGACCAAAATATGACATTGCATTGTGCATTTTTATACCATTGTTGATTTTATCATTAAAAAAGTAGTTTTAAAAGGGAAGAGAAGTATATGAGGCTTAACTTAGGATAAAATCCAGTTACTGAAAAAAACAAGTTAGTCTTTCTCAAAACATGCACAAACAAAAATAAGCAGAATTGGTTCCACACACATAGAATCATTTCTTAATGAAAAAGGAGGAAAAAAAAATACCGTTTGAGAAAAACATAAAACACACATACATTTGAAAATTAAGGTAACCTTGGCCCTGACACTCTAAAACAAAGCAGAACCAAGTTCTTTGCTGTGTAGACTCAATGTTTAAAAGATAGTCCTAACTATGAAATATGCTGCAAAATTACACAACAAGAACCAATTTCTGGTGCATCAGCCAATATTAAATTGCTTTTAAAAACGAAATGCACCGTTTATCTATTCTGAAGAAAACAAAGAAACAAACAAACACCACTGAACGACTCTGGTAAGTATTTTGTAACATTAAGCACATAATAAATGTGTTTCCAGTAAGTTTCTAAAAATTCATTTGCAGTAAATGTTTTCTTGGGTCAGTTGAGAAGCTCTCGAGCACATTGTTCAGTGAACCAAGAGTATAGAGGAGTCCTTACGAAAGACAAAATGATTTTAAAAAAGCAGAAAGTCATTTCAAACATGCCGAAGCCTGGATGCCCCTTCAGCCTAGCTAACGGAGGTGGTAGGAACATGTCAATACTTCTAAGCGTAAAATGACCTAAACCTTGCCAGGCATTTTAAATCTTCTGGGTCTTTGTCAGGGTTAAGAAAGATTGCGTGTGATCATTTTATCTGACAATCGTAAGCCTTGCAAGATTTTGTCCATGAACATGTACTATTGCCTCTATTTACTCAACTTTGGAAAAAAAGACAAAAAATGTCAAGCAAAGGCTTTCAGTTGAAACATTTTAATATAAAATTGTGAAATTTTAGAAAAAGATAAACTAAGGAATAATCCATGACATCTATAAGATAACATAATCCTAACAGTTATGGTTCCTCAATGGATCCTCTCCTCCTTTTTTCCTCCATACAGACAAAACCCTTTCATCTACTCGAGCTGATTTATGCTCTATCATCCTGAATGAGATCACCATCCTCTTGGGCAGTTCTGACTACCCAAGAAGCAGCAGCTACATCATCTCACAGTACAGAGGAATCCGTCTTAGTGTGATGTTGCACAGACCAACACCCCCAGAAATGATCACACACATGTGCTGAGAGGAGAGCTATCTAAAGACTCACAGAAAGGAGGAATAAACGTGCTGGAAATGGCACATAAGAAATACAACATCCCACCCTTTATCTGTAGATAAGCCAAGTCAGAGAAAGAAGTGTGTCCTATCTCCTGAAAGGAGTCACTGAGATCTGGGCGTAAAGCCTATGAACACGATGTGGGTAACTGCTGCAATGAGAATCGACTCCTCAGAGCTTACAGGTATCTGAGCTAGCTCCGAACAAGCCCAGAAGTATAAATCGCTCTGAGGCTAGCTCTGTGCTACGACAGCTGGGTAACTGCTGAACCACTGCTCGCCCAGGTATCTCAGTTGCATATTACCCTGAAGCAAGCAGTGCAGATATTTCCCCACAGGGATGAGCTTCCTGCTCCTTTATGCCTAGGGGACCTAGTTACTGATGTCAGAGAAAATAGAAACTCAGAAACTAGACTAGCAGTAACGGAAAAGTATCGCAGGTACTATGTAGATGGTTGAGAGGAAAGAAATCTTGAGGGAATGTAAATTGGGAGTCAAATGCAAAATTAAAACCCTGGTGGTTTGATTTAGGAAAGAGATGAAAATGTCAAGCTGCC